GCTGCTCCATTTGCTGCTGCATTACAGTAAAATATACCGTATGTTGCAACATATTTGGGCCTGAATCCTCCACAGTTGTTGTTCGCCAATGCTGTTTTGAGCAATCAAAGCAAGAATATCTTTGTGGAAATGGTGCAAAATCAGCCAACGTGCACCGTGAATTTATACAGAATGAAATTGAGCGAAACAAAAGAATCCTTTCAGGCTTGCGCTCTTCCAGGCAGCCAGTCTTCCAATAGGAAGGCAGCCAATAAGCAGCCGAAGCTGGCCGCCGCCCAACTGTTCAACAGATCTCTTTGTATTTTTTAATGTTTCTACAATTATAACCTGTGACCTGTGGCTCCTTTGAGCTCTTCTTCAGGCAAACTTGACCGGCAAGTGTATCTAATATGTACATATGTACTGTGCATGCTTGGAGAGGTGCAAATAGTAAACTACTTTCAGCTGTGGAGCATCCATAAATTTAATCGAAAGCTCAAGAAGTTGCACTACAGCTGGCAGCTGGCTGCTGGAGGCTGCTTTGGAGCTCAGTGATCTGTGTTCGCATTGTTCGGAGTGCGACTGCGTTTATCAGTGGGTACCGTTATCATTAACAAGCCACCAGAAGCCAGCCAGCCAGCCGCCGCGTCTGTGTGGTAGTGGCGGCAGCGCCGCACGCATGAGAGCGAAACACACGCAAAATAAAATCAGGTTGTATGCCGCCAGTGGGGTGAGTGAAGAAAGAGGGAATGGGTGGGTAGGGGGGGTATGTAGAGGCAACGGCGCATTTGGTGAAAGGTGCGCTGGATGCGATAAAGCGCTTCCATCATATTTTACATTTTCGTAATTTGCTAAAAGCACACACCACACACACACACACACACACATCACACACAATCTCACGCACATGTAGTCGAAGTCGCAGTCGCAGTCGAAGTCTCGCAGTCGTAGTGGTGTGTGTGTGTGTGTGTGCGTGTGCAATTTCATTTAATTAGATTGCGTTTTAATAATGCCAACACAAATAAGGAGCAGAAGAGGGAGGGAAAGAAAGATATAAAAATACATACATACAGCTGTGGCATAAATAATAGCACCATGACACTCAACTTTCTGTATTAAAGGATTTTGTTTAAACAGTGGTATTAATGAACGGTTTAAGAACTAATATATATACTTTAGGATGTAATCTAATGTTTCCGAAAGCAATAGTTTGTATTGCAGACTTCAAACGAAAATTATCAAAAAAAAAAGGAATTATTCAAGAATTTAGGCGGCAACAAAAATAGCACTGATTTCCAAAAATAAAAAAAATACAACTTTAAAAGAAGCTTTCCAAATTTTTCATTAAAGTAGGTTACTTTAGTTGTATTCAAAGGTTAATATTTTGTTATAAAGCCTTTGGAAGCAACCACAGTGTTCGCTCTTGTCATGAAAGTTCACCTCATTTTCGGATCTTTCCTGGGAGATATGGCTCCACCAATAATGCCTGATACCCCAAAGATCAATATTGTTCCTTGGATTCGTATTAGAAACATATTTTTTAGCTTTAGCGCAAAGATTTTTCATTGTGTTCATACCTGGCGACTAAGCAGGCCAATGCATTACATTAAATGCACTGATCTCGAACCACCTTCGAGCTTCCTTGCTGGTCTGTTTTGGATCATTGTCCTGATGGCAGACACAAAACAACGGCATTTCCTATTCCATATAAGGCAGCATCATTGTTTTCTAATATTTTAAAATAGACATGTTGATCCATCATCTATTTGTGCCATGTATTGGACCACCTCAATAATACGAAAAGCATGCCCATGCAATGATATTTATCCCTGAGTGTTTAATGGTTTTATATATTAGCCAGGGGTTTTTATTCTGCATTAGGTGTCGTCATACAAAAGATCAAGAGCCTTTCCAAAAAAAAAAAATTTGACTTTCTTCGGACCACATGATGTTTCTTTGGGACAACTCCAGTGCTATTTGCATACTGCACTAACTTTGCCCCATGGCTTTCTTTCTCAAGGGGATTTTTCCTCGGACTTTTGGCACTTAATTTATGTTCTTATATGCAAGAACTAACTTTGCTCATCCTTAGCGATTTTTTAAGATCCTTTTTAAGCTCTGGACGATTTATAAGGGTCCTTCTTTCTCTCATCAAGCAGTAGTTTGACCGGAAATGGCGGTATCGCGGCTTTTATTCCATGTGTTTTTTGTTGGTTGCATGTTTTAAAGCATTGCAAGTCATTTTAGTTGATCAACCAACAATTTGCTTCACCTTAAGATAGGTGTCTCCTTCTGAAATAAAAGTTTTGATCCTCTTGCTTTTTTCTTACCTAAAGTGCTTTCTAAGGCCCAAAACTACTTTTATTTTGTTAAGTTCTTGCCACAATCAATCTAAGACACCGAGTTTTAATTTATTTAAGATCATAAAATATCAAAAAGCTCGGAAAAGTAAAAGTTTTTATAAAAAACCTATTTTAGTGCTATTTTTGTTGCCGTCCTATTTCGCTTCTTTTATGGAAAATGGTCTTTAGTAATAAGAACCGTTAGGAATTTGAGAGTAAGCACACTTCTATCAGAGAGGGGACATGTAAACCTAATTGATATTATAGTCAAGGGCAAAATATGTTGGTTAGAGATCAGGCTTTGAAACAATAAAGTCTGTGGTACCAAACAGTGCTATTATTTCTGCCGCAACTGTATATGATCATACCTATGTATGTGTGTGTGTGTGCATGTGTGTATGTGACTCCGATATTGATAGCGTAATTTAATTGATTTGCGAGCAGAGCAAAGCAGCGCAGAGCAGAGCAGAGCAGCACAGCATTAGCAGAGAGACGAAGAAGACGCAACGGCAACATTAGCAGCAGCAGCACAGGCAGAGGCAGAGGCAGAGTAACAGCTTCTTGACCAAGCAGTGGACAGTAGACTGGAGGACGGACTGCTTGCATTTGTTACGCTTGGCAGAGACTTGTGCCTGCCAGACCATTTGCAGTAATTGGCGCTGCTGCTGCTGTTGCTGCTGCTGGTGCAACGGTGCCTGGGCTAACTGTTTGTTTTGCCTTTCCTTCTTTCGCTCATTCTCTCTCTCTCGCTCTCTCTCTCCATTTATTTGAGTATCTCTCCTAATTGCTTGAGGACGTCTGCAGTCACAGTCTCGGGTCTAACTGATTCTGTTGACAGCTGACGTGCTGACTCTTTACATACCCCTCTCTCTCTCTCTCTTCCCCCTCATCCCCCAGGGTGTTGCATGCATAATTAATTGTGATTTGTGTGGAAATCGTTTCTTAAGTGTCCAACAATTAATTTTCCAGCGAACATGTTTGAAATCGCATTTAACATGAAAACGAATTATGAAACGTTGTCGGCAAGGGGAAGAGGTTGCGGCAAGGGGTAGGGGTGGAGGGTGCTGACCCATGCACCTGCTCATCGATGGGCTTAAAGCTGACGCAGCAGCGGACAGTGGGGTGCGGGGGGTCCACCCAAAAGACATACGTAAATATATGTACATATGAACATACGAGTAAAGAGACACTCGCGTAATGCGACAATCATTTTGTTTCGTTTTCATTTTCGTTTTCGCTTAGCATTTCGTTTTTTGATGTTTATCTGGCATCTGCGATTTGCCTCTGTGGGGGCCAACGCCCCGTGGTATGTCCCATTCGGTGCCATTTTGTGTTTGTTTATTTTCTTTTATTCCAGGAGCCAACGCCTAGAAATGGAAACGGCAATGGAGGAGTTGCCGTCGCCGTTGCCGTCGCCGTTGCCGTTGCCAGTCACGCTTTTTATCTCTCCCTTTTTGAGAAATTAGAATGCAAAATCCAGCAGTCCGTCCGCCCACACAAACGCACACCACACACACCACACACTACACACACATACTCGTTCCACACCTCGTTAAGCCTTTTCCTTCCTCTGGCTTTCCTTTCCCTTCCACTCCTTTCATTTTATTTATTGCCTGCGCCTGCCTTGGCCGCCATCTTTTTATGGTAGTTGTATTTTTTGCTGTTGCTGTTGCTGGTTTGTTCTGTTCTGTTCTTAATTTATGTTTAGCGTTACTTTTTGTGGCTTTCTCGCCGCTTGTGGCTGCTGACTCATCCGCCGTGGCGATTCATAAGCTCTGATTAGCAGGCACGCGTGCTGCTGCCGCGTCACGCTAATGAGTTGTTGCTTTTGGTGTTAGTGGTGCTGCTGGTGCCGCTGCTTCTGCTGCTGCTGCACCTCTGCAATCATCTCGTGCCATCTCTCGCACACACACACACACACACAGAAACCTGTGATAGACACTCCTCTCAATTATTATCTGGTGGCATCTACTGTCGCCTCACTCCTTGACACTCCTGGAATCATTTGGTGCCATCTCCTTTCGTCCCACACTTGCAAATCAAAGCGTTCATGTCATCTCCTTTCTGCCTAAACACCTGTGTATTCTCGCTCTCTCTCGCTCTCTCTCTCTCTCTCGATATATCGATAGACAGCTGATTGAATTTGAATTGAAATTTGAATTTATTGAAGCTCAAAAGTTGGAGTTGAAGTTGGAGCAACAGGCCGAATAGGAGATGGAGGTGCTGAAGCGGCTCAGCGACATGTGTCGCCATGTAATGCAAATGTTATCTGCATTTCCTGTTGGACTGCAGCATGGATCGACATTGAAATGAATGGCAGGCACAGGCGCAGGCATACAGGCAGGGAAATCTCGATGCACTGGCAGTCGTCGTCGTCGTCGTAGTAGTCGTCCCCTCCTCCCATTTGGCATGCATGGGGCACACATGGAAATGGCAGACAGAGTCCCTGACAGCCAGTCGAGACAACACATAAATCTTGCACGCACACTACTACGATGGAGCCAAGCCTGTCTCCCTCTCTCTCCCTCTCTCTCTCTCTAAAGCCCACTCCCCTTCCCCTTTGTGACAAAATGGTCATCAATCATGTGGGAAGGGGGGTTTGGGGGCATTACCTATAATTTTACATAATTAAACATATCATAATCAATGCTCTCCCCCATTATATTGCTCTGCTTGCAGGCACCGAGAATCAGCTCGTCCGAAGAAAAGACGACGACGCGACGGCCTTACCTAACCACATGGCTCCAATAAGCACCATGAACGGCCAGGGCCTGGTCCAGGGGCAGGTCTGCGAGCTGAACCACAGCAACGGGGACATCATATCACAGAACCAACAGAAGGGCTGGTGGACCATCGGTCTGATCAATGGCCAGCACAAGTACATGACTGCGGAGACCTTTGGCTTCAAGTTGAATGCGAATGGAGCCAGTCTGAAGAAGAAGCAGCTGTGGACCCTCGAACCCTCCAACACCGGTGAAAGTGAGTATCAAACGAACAACGAAATGATGCTTATCGATAATTGGCCTTATCGATGACAATCGGCCACAGAACACGCGTCACGTGCGATTATCTACCGAACGAGATAAGTCCGTCTGCTAATGCCCGACTGCCGGAGTGATTTTTCTTTCACCTTTTTGCTTGCTTTTGCCATTTATTGGGAGTAGCAAAGTGGCAACAATTTGCCTCCTGCCACTGCAGCTGGCTGCTGCTGCTGTTCGCCTCATTAGCTTCCAAACTTGAAATCAATTGCTAGCCATAATCACTGGCATCTTCTTGCCACAGTTTGTGGCGTCTCTTGTGCTGCCCTGTTGCACTTTCCACTGCATTCGGGACACAGCCATGCGCTCAGAGAATTGGGATTGGGATTGGGATGATGCTTAGCCCCCCCTCTGGGACCAAGGAAATGTGGAAACTAAAATACCATTGAAATGATCGCTCTGCAGAGGGTATTCAAAATTCGGCACACCGCATACAAATAATTCCGAATGTTGTCCATGCTGTTACTTGCAACATAAATCATTTGAGGGGCCGCACCGCACCAGCACACACACACATGAACGTTGGACATTGGACATGGAGAAACAATTCCAGTTGCTGCACTAATTTGACGTGCTGCAGAAGAAAACAAAGCGCCTCACGAATTTGGCATCATTTATCAAGTTGCAGGCAGAAGAAAGCTCGGGAAATTGGATTTGGGATTGCATTTGGCTGTGGCTTTGGCTTTAGCCTTTGGCTGTGATTGTGGACAGCAATTACAATTAAAGCCAGGATTGCAACTGGTTTTTTTTTGTTGATACTGCTGCTGCTGCTGGTCGTTGCCACTGGTCGTGGCAATTAATAAAGATTTTCTATAATGCCAGAGAGCCATAAGTCATCTGGAATTCATTCCGAGCAGCAGCATCGTATCCATTAAAATAGCTTCCAACCAAATTGAAAATGGCTTAATAGATAATAACACTCAAAATGAATGTGTCGCTTGGAAAGCGAAACAAATTGCTATGCAATCGATGCCATATAACCCTGGAAGCAACAGGTAAAGTTTGGTCAATGGATTTAGCCCTAGGACTAGCCAGTATATATATTATTATAATGTTGGGGCAGGGGTAGAAGGAAGGTTCCTCCATCCATTGTAGCCTGCCTAAAGCTGCGTATTTTTTGATCACTCATTCCACAATCCTTTCACTCACTTCGTTATTGTATTCCTTTCCTTCGGCAGGTATTATCTATTTACGATCTCATCTGAACAAGTACCTATCGGTCGATCAGTTTGGCAACGTGCTGTGCGAGAGCGAGGAGCGGGACGCGGGCAGCCGCTTCCAGATCAGCATCAGCGAGGATGGCAGCGGCCGTTGGGCGCTGAAGAACGAGTCGCGCGGCTACTTTCTGGGCGGCACGCCCGACAAACTCGTCTGCACGGCCAAGACGCCCGGTGGCAGTGAGTTTTGGACAGTACATTTGGCTGCACGGCCGCAGGTCAATTTGCGTTCCATCGGACGCAAGCGGTTCGCGCATCTGTCAGAGTCGCAGGACGAGATCCATGTGGATGCCAATATACCCTGGGGCGAGGATACGCTCTTTACTCTGGAGTTCCGGGCCGATGAGGGCGGGCGCTATGCACTGCACACGTGCAACAATAAGTGAGTAGCAATATATAGCACCCATCCTGATGATCCTCCTCGATATTCAATATTAAATGCTCAATACTCTATCGCGCAGATATCTGAATGCCAATGGCAAGCTGCAGGTTGTGTGCAACGATGACTGCCTGTTCAGTGCCGAATATCATGGCGGACATTTGGCGCTGCGTGACCGCCAGGGCCAGTACTTGTCGCCCATCGGCTCCAAGGCTGTGCTGAAGTCTCGCTCCTCGACGGTGACGCGCGACGAGCTCTTCTCGCTGGAGGACTCGCTGCCCCAGGCCTCGTTCATTGCAGGCCTCAATTTGCGCTATGTGAGCGTCAAGCAGGGCGTCGATGTGACGGCCAACCAGGATGAGGTCGGCGAGAACGAGACATTCCAGCTCGAGTACGATTGGTCGGCGCATCGCTGGGGCCTGCGCACCACACAGGATCGGTACTGGTGCCTCTCCGCCGGCGGCGGCATCCAGGCCACCGGAAATCGACGCTGCGCCGACGCATTGTTCGAGCTGATTTGGCATGGCGACGGTTCGCTCTCGTTCCGGGCCAATAATGGCAAGTTTTTGGCCACCAAGCGTTCGGGCCATCTGTTTGCCACCTCCGAGTCCATTGAGGAGATAGCCAAGTTCTACTTTTACTTGATCAATCGGTGAGCATTTGCCATTTGGATCCCACCCCTACCACACCCCACCACACACCACTGATGATTGATATCCATGCGATCTATGCGTGTTTTGCAGGCCCATTCTGGTGCTGAAGTGCGAGCAGGGATTCGTCGGCTATCGCACGCCCGGCAACCTCAAGCTCGAGTGCAATAAGGCCACCTACGAGACCATTCTGGTGGAGCGCGCCCAGAAGGGGCTCGTCCATCTGAAGGCGCACAGCGGCAAATATTGGCGCATCGAGGGCGAGAGCATCTCTGTGGATGCCGATGCGCCAAGCGATGGCTTCTTCTTGGAGTTGCGCGAGCCGACCAGGATCTGTATTAGGTTAGCTTGCCCATCCTTATGTTGATGATTGATTCTAATGGCAGTTTTCGTTCTCTCCCCATTTCCATAGGTCGCAGCAGGGCAAGTATTTGGGCGCCACCAAGAACGGAGCGTTCAAGTTGCTCGACGACGGCACCGACTCGGCCACCCAGTGGGAGTTCTAAAGAGAGAGAGAGAGAGAGAGAGAGATGAAGAGAGAGCGTGCTCCAACCAGGAGGCGCATCATCAGTATCACATTTCCAATCCCATGTGCGCAAGAAATGGATCCTAAATAAAGATTTGCAAAAGGAGGAAAACACAAGAACGAGAACGCGAACGAGCGAGTGCGAGAATGGAGCGAGTGTCGAACAGAAGGAAGATAATTTATATATTTATATTCATATATATACATACATGCATATATATACGTATATATATATTGAGAGAGAGGGATTTTTTTTAAACAATCTATTTAGCTTTTTATACGTTTTATACACAAACAAGAAAAACAACAATAACAAATTTTAAGCGTAAAACAAAACAAAAATACAAAGAAGAAAACAAAACTTTGGTCGCGAGTCCTTCCGTTCTAACAGAAATATCAGCCACTAAGCAAAACGAAACTTGAAACTATAAAAAACAAAAACAAAGGTTAAAAAACAATTAAATAATGGTTACGCAAGCACATAAATTACACACCTATATATATACAGACACACATATATATATATAGATTTGATTCGTCAAGCTTAAAGTAAAATTCGAAGATATAAAGGGAATACAGCCCACGAGTAGAAGAGAAAAGCATGTGGGTAGAGGAAGGATGGTAAAAAGTAAATCAACACATATTCCTATAAATTTATTTATATATTTATATATACATATTGATATGAGCAGTAGCACCCCTACCCCCCTATACCTATACCACCACCCTACACCCCCCTACACCAATGCCCTAAATACACAACCAAACCACACACTTATACACACAAGCGCAAACACACTCTCAAGCAAGCAATTTTATTATGCAAAAAAAAAAATTTTTAGACAGTAAGAAGTCCAATAAAAATTAATCTGTAATAAAAGAAGAAATTATTAAAAGAAAAAAAAAATTTCATCTCCAATTACTCTTGGCAAAGGCATCAATCATATCCTTCATACATACATATATCTACATGCATACATACATATATATATATCTATACTATATAGTATACTCTCATGTATTGTATTAGTCTTTTGTTATTTATTTGTGCCAATAATTTGGTTTTTTTTTTGTAATTTCTTTTCTTTTATTTTCACACCTTAAACGTATCTAAAATGGAAAAAAATCCCAATTTAGTTGCTAAATCTTAAAATGGAAATGATGTATGATACATATGAAATATATACATACCATATACATATATACAGGATCCAACAGAAATTTTGCTGGGTCAGTTCTGGGGGTAGAAAGCCTTGGGATTATCAACAGATTATGAAATTCAGATGCTGCTTCACTTCCATTAGATGCTTTGCAAGTTCCTCTCTCTATAGTTTGACTTTTACTTGGCTGTCTGTATGGGAGATTGAAGACTTAATCGAAATATAAATGAAAGGGTGTGTGTGGTCGTTGGAGGGTCTCCCAGCAGGATACTAATTATGATAGCCTCTAAAAAGATGTCTTTAAATTCTTCAAATGTTTCTCTGTCTCTGTTCACCATCTTAATATAAATGGTTTAAGTTTCTTTCCTTTAATTATTAAAAAGGATTTTGTTTTTTGAATTTAGTTTTTAATTTTCCCGCTCCGCTTAACAGCTCACATATATATCGAGTACAAATACTCGATACATTTTTCGATAGTGAAATTCACATATCGCTGGCTGCGGAGTGTGACCAGGTGTACATGCACTACGGTAACACTGCACAGTCAGCTGTGTTTCGGATGCTAATAAAGTCTGTTAATTATTCAAATTGTTGTATGCAATCAAGCAGGAATGAGGAACTAGCGGCACCTATTGTAGCGCTGGCGGAAGTCGATGAGCGCGAACGCGACGACAACATTGGATAAATCCAAACTTGGCGTCAAAGAAACGTAATTAAGATAAATCAATGGTTTGGAGCCTATGCAAATTTCAATAAGTGACTGCTTAAAATGCAGCCATGCAATCGATAGGCTCTATCAATATCGCAAGCGTCTCTGTTTTGAATAACAATTCAAATTATAGTCAACGTTTCTTAATTATTTTCATTGTTTTGGAAATTAAATCTTAAATAAACCGAATATTGATTTTATTGCACTCATATGGGATGTTTTTTTCCCCAGATGGAAATTTATTGAAGCTGCTTACAAAGTTCCAATCAAAATTCCAATTCACTCAGTGACTCAAATAGCATTATGATGCAGAAAAATGCAATAAGCCCAGAAGCTGCAAGCGCCCGATTGACTGGCTGGGCAAGTGATTGGCTTCACATGGAGCTCACATGCCCAGCTAGCCAGCCACACACGGACACACGCGGTATGATCCCCCAGTGATGTGGGGTATAGATTGACGTGGCATGGGATGTGATATGATGCGAGTCCTTCGTTGGCGTCCAACTGCCCCACGTCAGGCAATAATAATTCGCCAGTCATTGACAATGTCGGTGGCATAATGGCCCTCAACTGGCTCTGCCATTGCTGCAAGGGCGCGGACTCGCATCATCCGAACAATGACCCAGGCCCGGACACCTACAATTGTCAGCGTCGTCTAAATGAATGAATTAAGTCAGCCATGTGACATAACTGCAATGGCCGCACGGACTCGGTACACGACCTGGGGACCTGAAGCGAGAGTCGAGTCACACTGCCCTGCCACACTGCCTGACGATACCACACTGCCACTGCCATGGTAGCATCGCCATTGTCATCGCCACCAACAACATCATTGCCACATTTACCACATTGTTTTGTTGCTGTAATTTCCATTGTTAATTTCGCTGAACAGTGGCACGAATGTTGTTATTTCTGAGTGATATTCGCTTGCTAAATATATAACACAGAAAAACATAAACAGCAATTAAGACGGTATATGTTTAAGTATAAATACTATCCTCAGCGTAGATTTACATTTTTCTTTTTTTTTCATTTGAAAATATTTCTTAAAATAAAAGCTCATTCCCGATATTTAAAGCAAAACTTAGTCTTTCTCCTTTTCGGCAATATCAAACCCCATTTTGATAATTTGCTCTAATAAAGAGAATTAATAATGAATTTAATTATACTTAGAGGAAAAACAGTCCGACCATCGTAAATACACAGCAGACAGATACACATACAGACATGCATATAAGCATGGCTTATTCGTGTATATAATTGTCCTGGAACATCATACCAACGTAAACAACAATCGATGCCTTGTAAATAAAAGACTCGGTTCAATGCCCTTTTAGCCCACTGTGCGGCGTTGTTATTGCTGCTGTTGTGATTACGTATTGCACTCGGTGCACAATGGACAACGACGATGACAATGACGCCCGGGCCAAGTTATATGGCACACACGTAGGGCAACTCCAACAGACGCCCCACCCCCATGTCCACGACGACGCTCAAGCACACTCCCATTTCCATTTCCATATCTTCCTCTCTGTCATTTTGCTTGGGCCCAAACGACTTGGCCCAGGACAATGCCGGAATGCAAATGGCAGACGGACGTGGCACGTGGGCGTGGGCCGGTGCACAGCAACACGGCGTGAAAATGCAAAGGACTTATGCAATCACCGGGAGCAGCGCATAGCCGCCAACAACTCGCCAGTGCCAGTGCAGTCCGCCAATTAAGCAACAAAAGGGCACAAGGTGCAGGCCCAGGTCCCAGTCCCTGTCCCATGCTCCATATCCGCGTCCTGGGTAGGCGCTGACTTGGCTTAGATGGCCATTAAAAAGAAGCGAATGGAGCGACGTTGCGAAATGTTTGTGATGAAACGAATGGCCACGGCGTCGGGGTCGGGGTCCACCGCCCTCCCACCCTTCCATACTCCTCTTTCTGTGTAACTTTTCCCCCTCCTCGTCGTTGTTGTTGCTGCTGCACATTTTGCAACAAACTTGCCCACAGCATCGCCGGGGCAGCCAAACGGTTTTGCCAAAGTTACAAACTTTATGGCTCCATTGCTGCCACTGCATATCCCGGCACTCCACTGCGCACTGGTCCGTCCGTCCGTCCGCCGCCATCTCGAGGCTTTCAATTTCCTTTTGCATTTTTTTATTGTTTAGCAAAATGTGTGCAGACGGAAGGACTACTCAAGGCAGCTTTAGGGGCTGGGGGCGGGATCTGGTGCTGGTGCTGGTCCTGGTCTGGGCACCCAACAAGTGGATGCAATGGACGACCTGCCCCAAACGGTGCTCGTTAGCTCTAATGGGTGGCTGGGCATGTGGCGTGGTCTAATTTGCAAAATTGCCATCTGAGGCGACGCCCACAAAAAAAAGTTCACACAATTTTCACTTAATTAGAAATTATATAGTCGCAAAAAATATGTACTCGGATTAAATGGTTTATTATACATACATATTCTGTAAGTGCACAGAAAACTAACTTAAGCATTGTGTGAACTTAATTAAGTAAAAGTTCATAAATAAAAGAACACCTGTGCTCCCCTTCAGGGAACTCCTTCCAAGAACTAGCTTAATATTTCCACAATAAATGTTCTTATAAAGAAAAGATGTAGCACAGAAAATGCAATAAATGAGTGTAAATATAAAAAATTAAATACTCCTTTGGTTAATTGATCGACAAGTCAATTAAATATCGCATAATAGTAGAACAAAAAGGTTTACTTAACTAGAATTTGTCAAACAAATATCCGCTACAAACTATTAGTGAATGTTGTAATTGACATTTCCAATGTAATGTCCATTTCGTCCGTTGTACGAGCTGAATTATTGGACGTAGGTGTCGGGCTGCGGCATGACCACGCCGCAGAAAATATTCAGCACATTCTGCAAAATGCAAATTTTAATAAATTTACATGTATGCATGTACATAGCCTCAAATATGCGTCGAGTTCTTGGAATTCGGTGAACAAAAAACGAAAGCACACAACACCATAGAGCACTCACCGCATTGTAAAAAATGGCAGAATCCTGCATCAAGGCACCGCCGAACAGGCTCTCGCGTAGGAACTCCGTGCGCGTATGTTTAACAGGCGATCATGGCGCAATCTATTAATCAATTGCCGAGCTTTATGTAAAATAAAATACAATTAAAATACTGCGCAAATGCCAACGAATAGTTCCAACCAGAAGAGAAGCCAGAAAGAGCGCGAGAGTGAGATCAGTTATCGATTGGTGAGCGGTGAGTTTCGTTGCTGGGTTGGGTATGGTGGAATTGTTGGTGGTGTGGTGGAAGGGTCAGCAGTGTCGAGAAAGTTGCCAGACCCTGCCAGAGACAAACATGTGTAATAAATTGGCCCTGTCCGTTGTTGAATTGAAACTGCCAATCCAATTAGTTGGGAACTGTGCAAACAAGAGGAGCCGGAGCCTGGTGCAGCAGCTTCCACTCGCATGTGGCTGCCGGGCAATAAAAATGGACACACGGAGCAGAAACAACATGGCGCTGGCAGAAGGCAGCGATCCGGGACACTGGCACAGAAGCACTCACCGATTGTACCGACAACCTGATGCCTTACCCTGCCACCTGCCACCCCTCGGGCCAACATCGGACACTGGGACATGGAAAAACAGCATTTATTCTGCCTTCTGGTTGTACTCTTTGTGTCTTAACTATTTATGAGGTCGAGTTGTTTGTGCAGTTTGATTATTTTGCTAGCAGGCAAGCGGCAGGCGGAGCACCAGCGACCTGTGACTCTTCATAATTCAACGGTAGGAGCTGACAATCCGACCCGGCCATACGGAGACGCACACACAATGAGGGAGGGAGGTGTCAAGGGAGATCACAGTGAGCGTCCGCCAAACGCAACGAGTTTAGTGGATCACTTGATGGAAGGTGCATACAGGTAGACGAGTAGTGAGTATTTGAATATTAATGTACACATTTATGTACATATACATATATGTAAGTATGTTTATGTCTCTGTTTACATGTGCAAGGCACAAAAGGAAACACTCCGCCAAATGAACAGTGTAAATACAAATTTTGGCAAACATACCTACATATATCTTGATTTGTAGCCACAGCTGTGATTTGTCAGTGGAAAGCAAGCAGGGCTTCTGCCAGTGCACATTGCAATTCGCATTTGGCCTGCGGGAACTGCTTCTAGCCTTCGCATAATTCGATTTGAGGTGCTAGCTCCATTCACTACTTCAGGGTATATAAAATATGTGTACCTATGCTAATGGATCTCATTTACATACACATACTATGTATGTGCACGCATATGTGTATTTTTCATATATTAAAATGGATTTTCAACTGCATTCCTGCATCAATTAAAAATTGCTTACTGCAGGATGCATCTGTGTAGTGGCGAGGCATGGGATTACATTGAGATGCAAACATAAAATGAAATTGATTTTATTTCTATAAATTGGAATTGTTTGTACAGAAATTCAATCCATTTTCGGTGCTGGCTCGAAACTTGCCTTTTTTTATACTATATGTACACACATATCCCTACCTATGCACATAATATGCAAAAATCACAATAATAAAATAACATTCAACATCAACTAAACGAAAGGGACAGCCAGAGAGAGAGATAGAGAGCGGGCGAGTGGGAAAGAGTCATGAAATAATAATCCAGACAAAAGCCGCATACCAACCGGTCAAAGGTTGGCACGAATGAGATGGGGG